TAAACAAAAAAAATGTATACATAAAATATTTGATGTATTTTGTGTATCATTTTTATAACTATACAATAATTACGGAAAAAATAATGTTTATATGAATAAAAGTTTGTAGTAAAAAACATTAATGTTTACATTAAATAATGCTAAAACATATTAATTAAATTTAGGGGGTGTTTGGGGTTGCTTATAAAAGCTGTTTTTTAACTTATTTCAGTCTGGCACCGGTGATAAGCTGTTTTCTGGTGTTTGGATAAAAAAAACTCATTATACCGGTGCCAAACCAGTAATAAGCTGTTTTTGATAAGTTAATCATTCATGATTTATGAAAAACTGCTTATTACCAGTTTACAATTTTAATCATGTTTTATTTAACTCCGATTTGATACCACATAAGTTAATAAATACTTTTATAAAAAAAAACATAAGTTATATTAAATAAACAATCCCAAACACTCCTTTAATACAACAAATAAATAAATAAATAATCGACAAAAGACAAAAAAACAAAAAAAAAAATCAAAAAGTCAATGATCAAATAAGAGGATAGGGGTACATTTTAATAATATAGAGTGAAATTACCCTCCCGTTTCCTAATATAACAAGATATTAAGAGTCGACCTTAATTTTGGTCCCTGAAGTTTAATGAAAAGTTTAAAAGCGTTTTGATAAGTTTAGAAAGTATCCTTGTAATTTTTCATTTTGTTTTCAAAGTGATCCTCGTCATTAACTTCGTTTTTTTTTTGTTAAAAGAGGGGAATTTTCTTTTTTTTCATCTTTTGAGACTTTTTCATTCTCTTTCTTTAACAGCCATATATGTATATAACTTGTTATGATGCGTTATTGCGTCAAGGCTTGGATTCACCGCCACGTTATTAAGGCCTGGCTTCTGTTGTAACGTGTTTTGGTACGTTACGATGTGTTTTGGTACGTTACGATGTGTTATGGCGCTTTACAACGTGCTATTTTGTAAGATGTGAGGCTTTTTAATATGACTTGAGGGATGAATGATAATTGTGTGTGAGATCTAAGATTTAAATAAACATAAACAGAAAACTTAACAAAAAGCTTAAATAGGTAAATACTTACTTTCGTTCTCATACATGTAGATTCGAAAATGGATTTTTTGAAAATTGAAGGAAGTAGTGAGTTAAGATTCAAGAGATTTACTCTCAATTTTGTACCCTTCGTATCACTATATATATTTGCTATAATGGTTCTTCTTTAATTTTTAGTTTTATTACATTATATGAATTTAATTTGTTATAAGTTATTATTCAAAACACTATACACACACACACACACACACACACACACATATATATATATATATATATATTGCCACCTTAGGGCACGCCTTGGAAAACACCGTGTTCTCGCGGTAACTCGTATGGCTTGAGGTTTGTCTTCACCGCCACGCCACACCTGATGTTATTTAGAACTCTGGTAACAACCCTCAAATTATATATGTGTGTGTGTATGAGAGAGAGAGTTCGTCCCTATAGTTGGTCTTTATGGTTATATGAGATTATGGTTTGGCTCCTTTGAACCTTTTTCTTATGGATTAGGTGCTCATGGTTTGATTTTCTTTACAAATCAAGTCTCTTGCCTTAACTCGGTTAAAAAGTTATTTTAGGTTAGTAGTATTTTAGGCTTTTTTAACCATTGATTAAAAAATCATTTTAATATATCCAATTGATTGGTTCTGTCTCCACCTTACCCTACCACGGTCATCTTCTCCAGCCATTACTCATTCGATCATCTTCTCTACCATTGCCCCTTCTTTATCCACCATACTCCGAGACGTAGCAGACGCACTAAATCAACTCATATCCAAACCCTAATCATTAAAACTTAAAATCATAATAAAAAACCCAAACCCTTCAAACTCAAAAAAAAAAAACTTCAAAGCCCCATAAGAAAGTTAATTCTTTCTTTTAACATAATTTAGGACATTTTTCAGACTGCTCTCATCAAAGTGAGCAAACCAACCACCACCTAAATCGAGCTTTGATTCAATCTGGTGTCATGAAATTGCACATCTAAAAGATTGAAATAATTTTGTCCATCCCAAAAGAATTGGTTATGAGATAGGTTAGATGAACTAAAAACATTAATAGAAACCAGTTCAAAACCATCAATGCTTGGAAACCTGTAAAACCTATAGCATCATCACCACCAACACCAACTTCTTCAACCCCGACTTCATCCCATCTTCGTGTATAGAAAGCAACAACAATGGCCATGGTTGGAGTTATCATTGACCTTGAGTCCTTGACCCCTTCTCCACTAGCATGTTGCAAGAACCATCGATCTAGAACCACCTCACCACCACCCTCTACAAGAGATCTCAAATAGCATTAGAGATGGAAACGGCTTCTGATCTTGCTTCAACTCTTTTCTACTTCTCTTCCTGCCCTAATCGCATTTCCCTTATGATTTGTTTTTTTTGGTGGGATCATCGATTTTGTTTGAGGCCAGGGATGGGGGAGGGAAGGTGGTTACCTGAGTACTGGGGGTAGGGTCGACCGAAGATGGGAGTCTGCTATGGGTGGGGAGGGGAGAGTTCACCGTTTTGTTGAAAGCAAGGGGTTTATAGTTATGCATGTATAATAATACTACATAATATTATTTATCTTAAACGAAAATATAAGAAAGAGAGTAAAATGACCTTTTATTTAACGGAGTTACGACAAGGAACTTGAGCCGTAATGAAAATCAAAGTATATGTACCGAATTCATAATAAAAAAAATGAAGTGATCCAATCTGTAATTTTCAGGTAAGCACAAGAACGAAATCTGTAATTTTGAATTATCATAAATAAAATATTGCAATTGAAATTAGAGTATATTTATACGAGGAAAGAGTATTACTTTTTATTTTGAAGAGAAACAATAAATAGGAGAAAGAAAAAGACACTGTTTTTTGTCAAAATTCATCTTCTCCATAAAACCCATCTCTGAAGAAATCAAAATCATCGATTCTTTCCCAACAGAAGCCTGTCAAATCATAGAAAAAGCCACCACGAAAGTGTTTACAGAAGACGGTTTTCTTGTTTTTCTTTGCTTCAAGAAATGGCGTCCGCTGCCATGTTTTCATCCTTGCGGCGGAGCAGGTCGCCGACGTTAGAAGCCTTTCTGGCGCCGGTGGATCTAGAAAACGATGTTGGTGTCTTGTTAAACACCCTGACCGCCGTCTCATCGGACCTTATCTCTTCCTTCTCCGGCAAACCCCTTCCGTTTCAGAAGAAGAATTCCAAATCTTTGCTGCGGAAGATTGAATTGTTCGCCGTTCTGTTGGATTCCTTCCAGGATTCAACCTCCAATCTGCCGTCCACTGCGGTTCTATGCTTTAAGGAGTTGTACCTTCTACTTTACAAGTCCAAAATTCTGCTTCATTACTGTTCTCAATCCAGTAAGTTATGGCTCTTGCTTCAGAATCATTCCGTTTCTGGCCATTTTCATGAACTCAATCGAGAAATCTTCACACTTTTAGACGTTCTCCCGTGGACCCAATTGGATATTTTGAACAACAATGTTAAAGAACACTTGGATTTGTTACAAAAACAATCAATAAGTGCTAAATTGTTTATAGATAAGCGTGACGACGAATTACGCTTAAAGTTCTTCGAGATGCTGAATGAAATAGGGAACGGATGTATCCCATCTGCACAAGAATTTCATGATTTTTTTGTCAAAAAATTGGGGATTTTTGATGCTAAAAATTGTAGGATTGAACTTGAATTCTTGGAAGAACAGATTCTGAATCATGAGGATGATGTTGAGCCTTCAGCTTCTGTTCTTAGTGGCTTCGTAGCCATGATTAGGTACTGTAGGTTCTTGTTATTCGGATTCGAAGAGGATGAAGTTGAAATCATAATGGGGAAAAGATTCAAGAAGATGAAGAAAAGAGGGTTGATTATGAAAGAAATCGCGGATACTTTTATAACAATTCCGAAAGATTTCTGTTGCCCGATTTCGTTAGAGTTGATGATGGATCCTGTGGTAATCTCGACAGGGCAGACTTATGATCGGGCTTCGATTTCAAGATGGATCGATGATGGCCATTGTTCTTGCCCCAAATCTGGGCTAACTCTTGTTCACAAGAAGCTGGTACCAAATCGGGCACTTAGGAATCTGATCATGCGCTGGTGCATAGCTCACCGGATTCTGTATACTCCACCGGAAAGTTCGGATTTGGCTGCCGAATCTTTACCAGCTGGCCTGGAAAGCCGGGCGGCTGTGGAAGCAAATAAAGCCACTGCAAGACTCCTTATTCAACAGCTGGAACACGGGTCGTCGGTCTGTGGTAAAGCCATGGCTGCTCGTGAAATCCGTTTCTTGGCGAAAACTGGTAGAGAAAACCGAGCTTTTATAGCGGAATACGGAGCGATTCCTTACTTAAAGGGTCTTCTTTTTTCGCAAAGCATCGTTGCACAAGAAAATGCTGTGACGGCAATGTTGAATTTATCGATTCATGACACGAACAAGAGACGAATTATGGATGAAGAAGGGTGTTTACGATCAATCGTGCAAGTTTTACGATTCGGGCTCACGATCGATTGCCGAGAAAACGCAGCCGCCATATTATTCAGTCTGTCTGTGGTTCATGAGTACAAGAAAAAGATCGCCGAAGAAGATGGAGCCATCGAGACATTATCGGTTTTATTGAGCAAAGGAACACCGAGAGGGAAGAAAGACGCGGTGACTGCTTTATTTAACCTGTCTACACACATCGAAATATGCAATCAAATGATCGAGTTTGGTGCTGTTGGAGCTTTAATCGAGGCTTTGGGATGTGACGGCGTCGCGGAAGAAGCCGCCGGCGCATTGGCGTTGCTTGTGCGGCAACCTGTCGGAGCCGCGGCTGTCGGCAACGAGGATGCAGCAGTCGTCGGGTTGATCGGCCTGATGAGGTGTGGGACACCCAAAGGGAAAGAAAATGCCGTGGCGGCATTACTCGAGCTTTGCAGGAGTGGCGATGAGCACGCCACCGAACGGGTTCTGAGAGCTCCAGCTTTGGCGGGTTTGCTTCAGAGTTTATTGTTCACCGGCACGAAACGAGCAAGGAGGAAGGCGGCGTCCCTGGCTCGAGTTTTTCAACAATGTCATAAGGCTTCGTTGCATTTTGGTGGACTGGGCGTCGGGTATGCCTTTGCCGGAAACCGAGATTCGGGATTCTCTGGTGAGACGGCGACGGTGCCGATGTCGGTCTTGGTTTCGTAACACCTATTTACAAATTTTCTACCTTTTATATTACCACAATTTGGTTCGTTAATGTAGTTATCTTATCTTAAAATAAAATGGTTAAATATGGATAACGTGTTACGTATTTAAAACCATATTGGTTTTGAACATGACATAAAAATAATGGATTATTTTTCATATATGTTGTTACAAAATGTATATTTTAATTTTAATGTAAATAATTTGCAACATCATAACGGAAGAATGTGTTTTATGTCTTTTAGTCATTAAGATGCTTATTCATTTGACACACCCATTTCAATATCATCTCACATGAGATAGATACTAGTTGTCTATTCGTGCAATGCGGCGGGATGTAAAAAGTTTATTAAGGGACCGTTTATCAAACACTTACCCGGTAAACACTTATCGGTAAAATGTAACACTATCGTTTATTTACCGGGTGAGATTCTAGTCCACCAAAATGGTATCGTATGTAACAATTTACCTGGTAAGCGCTTACCGTGGTAAGAGTCATCGCCCTCACTTACCGGATAAGACTCTTAGTCCTTGTCTCGCTCTTACCGGGTAAGATTTTTGGTTCTTACCATGTTCATGCAGTAAAGTAATGTGACTTTGTGTGTCACTTACCCGAGTAAACGTTTGGTAAACGGCCCCTAAGATTTATTTAATTTTGAGATATCAAATTCCTTCAAGATATAATACAGCATACTACATTTGTACATAAATTAGATTTAAATATACATCCCATCCAAAATGTTGGTTTTAGTAGTTTTTACAATTATTCATAAAAAAACAGATTTCTTATATAGGATGTGTATGTAAACAAATCTTTTTGCTATTGTAAATATGATTGCAATGAATAAGATTCAGAATCACAACACAACTCTCTTTAACAATAAATCTTCCCATCGATCCTTTCTAAGACAACACAACCCTCTTCAACATATTTCTCAAGGTGCACTGTTTTAAATAAACTTTTTGGAGCGTTCATACTGCAATCTGTTTTATATTCAAAATAATTAAAATTTACAAAATTATACATGACATAAATTTACAAAAAGAATTTATCTACCCAAAATATGTTTGGCGTAGACTTTCGAATGACTTAATTTGAAATCGTGTTACATCTTTCAAAACCCAATTAAAAATGAGTAACATCCTATTACATTTCAAATGATCCCAGATAGATTTTGAGCACATGCAATATCCTATCAAACATCATGAAGTAGTTGCCAAAGTTTTAAGTTGTAGAAAAAGCGAACAATCTATAAATATAAACTGTGGTTCATAGTTCTCAGTGCCGTTGTAAACTTCAAACGGATCTACAAAAGTTTACATATTAGAAACATGATGTTCCATTAACCTGCTCAACAATTTTGCTTCCAAAGATATTCCTTCACCGAGAGCAGCCACCTAAATAATCAATTAAAAATTAAGAATGCGTAGTTATGGAAGAAAAGTTTGGCTGGAACACACAACTAACAAGGGTATAAACTCAACACATTTTCAGCATAATCCCAAATCACAAAAATTATATAATGCATCGAGTTCATGCGAGTGGATGCTGATCAAAAACAAAAGAAGAAGAAAAATAATAATAATAATAGGCAAGTGAATAGAAAACAACAATAAATTGCTGATCAATTGTAATATCATCTTTTTACATATCTGATATAGAACACTATAAACATATATGCAGCTTAAGAAAGAGAAACTAATGAAAGAAAAATTTTGTATTGCATACTTCATCACGAAGTGCATAAGCCTCTCGCCCATCTCCTGTGCTTTTCAAGTTAATTTCACCAATTTCCAACTGGAATCTGCAATTTTAGTTTAAGATAGTCTTTAAGCACACAAACGGGCCATAAAATTGCTACTATCCTAGGATATATTGAACGGAGATAATAAACTAAAAAAAAATACAATAAAGCTTTAAAGGTAAGTAATCATCAGNCAAGCAGTTTTCCAGCTCTCGGACAGGTCCTATAGGACCTTGCCACTCCTGGTCATGTAGGACTGCTGCAGGACTGGGCCCAAAAATGCTCAAAACCATGTAAAAATCGGGAATTAACATTAGATATACTATATTACTACTAATATATGAAAATGGCATAAAAAGACTCAATTAGGACATTAATGGGCAAATAAAACAAAGGAAAATGGTTAAGAAAATGATGTAATAAGGTTAATAAATTAATACTTATCAACGACTCTTCTTCTACTTCTTCATCCTCAGCTGAGTCAGATGGTGATGCTCCTATTGAGGGGGAGCTACTAGTTCATGATGATAGAGCCACAACAACTGTTGAGGGGGAGCCACCATGTTCTATGCCTTCAGTATCTGTTGAGGTTGGTACTATCCCTTCTCAAGATGATGTTCTCACTACTTCTGGGGACTTAGTCCCAACTCACAGAGAAGGAAAAGCACCGATGACCACAGATGAAGAAGCTGCTGCAGCTAAAGCAGCTAAATATGCTAGACATCAATCTGAAGTCCCTTCAGCCGACAGACTTGTGCTTAAAGCTTCACTTCCTCAAGAAACTGATCTTCAGCTCGTAGGTATTTCTTCTGAGGATGCGGCCAACTCAATTGCTCTTCAAAAGCAATTTGAGGAAGCCAACAGATCTCACACCTTGGTCYYACRATCTGAGTCTGAAGAAACCAAAGAAAAAAGAATTAAATGGTTTAATGACTCAATTCTCCGACGCTACACTACTAGTCGAATCGTCAATGCCAGAATCAAAGGTCCTCAAAAATTGACCTATGATTCCAATATGATCCTTTTGATTATTGGTCGAGAAAACGGAGCAGTGAGGACAGAAAAGCTGTCTTGGATCCATTCCTACGGTCTTACTGAGTGGATGGAGATCATCAAGTTTCTCAATAAAAGCAGAAGTATGTATAAGGAATATGTCTTGASTCATCTRTATCSYCTTCTCAAAAAGATACAGATGATCAAGATACATAACAAGCTGCCTTTCCCTCCACAACTCTCCTTTCTTAAGCAAGTGTTAAGCAAAGCTGGCTCTTCAAAATCTGCTTCT